ACAAGGTCTACACCTGGGATCCAAACCCATGAACCTGGGCTGCCAGCTGCCCAAGAGGAGTGAGAGGAACTTTAATCACTCAGCCACGGGGCCAGCCCTGAGCACAAAAGATTTTAGTTGTGTTAAAGTCCAATTTGTCTATGTTTTCTTTGGTTGCTTGTGTTTTAGGTGTCATATTAGGAAACCATTGACTAATTCAGGGTCAAAAATATTTACACCTATGTTTTCTTCTAAGAGTTTTGTAGTTTTATCACTTAGGTTTATTCTATGATCCATTTTGAGGTAAATTTCATATATGTTGTGAGGAAGGGCCCCAACTCCTTTTGCATTTGAATATCCAGTTGTTCTAGCACCATTTGTTGAAGATACTGTTCTTTTTCCCATTGAACTATGTTGGCACTGTTGTTGAAAATCAATTGACCATAAATGTAAGGGTTTATTTCTGGACTCTCAGTTCTATTTCATTGATCTATATGTCAACCCTTGTGCTAATACTATATGGTCTTGATTATTGTAATATTGTAGCAAGTTTCTAAATTGGGACATGTGAGTCCTCCAACTTTGTAGTTCTTCAAGATTGTTTTGGTAATTCTGGTTTCCTTGAATTTCCATATGAATTTTAAGATCAGCTTGTCAATTTCTGTCAAGATCCAGCTGGAATTTGCCTAGAGATTGTGTTGAATCTGTAGATCAACGTATGAAGTACTGCCTTTTTTACAATTAAATTTTCCAATCCATTTGATGTATTTCCATTTACTCAGATTTATTTTAACTTCTTTCAACAATGTTTTAGTTTTTAGAATAAAAGTTTTATACTTCTTTTGTTTAACTTATTCCTAAGTATTTTATTCTTTTGATGCTATTAAAAATGGAATTTTCTTAATTTCATTTTTTGAATTGTTCATTGCTAATGTTTACAAATAGAACTGCTTTTTGTTTATTGATCTTGTATCCTGTAACTTTAGTGAAATTGTTGATTTGTTCTCATAGTTTTAGTAGGTTCCTTAGGATTTGCTATGTAAAAGCTCATGACATCTTAAAATAGAGATAGTTTTACTTCTTTATTTCTAGTCTGGGTGTTTTTTATTTCCTTTTCTTGTCTAATTGTCCTAACTAGAACCTCCAGTACAGTGTTGAATAGAAGTGGTGAGAAGAGACATCCTTGTCTTATTCCTAATCTTAGATGGAAAGCATTCTGTCTTTCACCAAGAAGTATGATGTTAGCTGTGGGTCTTTGTGGATGTTCTTTATCAGGTTGAAGAAGATTCCCTCTATTCCTAGTTTGCTGAAAGCTTTTATCATGAAAGAAGTGTTGGGTTTTGACAAAACCAAACAAAAACAAAACTGTTTTTTCTGTTTCTATTGAAATCATTGTGCATTTTTGTCCTTTATTCTATTGAAATCATGTATTACACTAAGTGATTTCTGGATGTTAAACAAATCTTGCGTTCCTGGGATAAATCCCATTAGGTATGAAGTAGTATCATTTTTATATATGGGTGGATTCAGTGTGCTGGTATGTTGTTAAAGATTTTTCTATCTACATTTACAAGAGATTTTAGTCTGTAGTTTTCTTTTCTTGTGATAGCTTTTTCTGGTTTTGGTATCAGGGTAACACTGATCTTATAGAATGAGTTGGGAAGTGTTTCTTCCTCTTCTATATGTGGGAAGTGTTTGTGAAGGACTGAGACTGATTATTTAAATTTTTGGTGGAATTCACCAGTGAATTTATCTGGCTTAGGGCGTTTCTTTGTGGGAAGTTTTTAAAATTGGTAGCTCAATTTTTTTTTATTTGTTATACACCCATTCAGATTTTCTATTTCTTCTCAAGTCAGTTTTGGTAGTTTGTGTCTTTCCAGGAATTTGTTCATTACATCTAAGTTATCTAATTTTTTCGCATACAGTTGTTTAGAATATTTCCATATAATCCTTTTTTTTTTTACTTTTCTAAGATCAGTAGTGATATTTTCTCTTTCATTCCTCCGTTTAGTTATTTTAGTTTTTTCTTTTTATTCTTGATCAGCCTAGGTAAGCTTCACCAATTTTGTTAATCTTTTCAAAGGACCAACTTTCAGTTTGGTTGATTTTCTCTATAGTTTTTCCATTCTCTATTTCATTCACTTCTGCTCTAATCCTTATTGTTTTCTTCCTTCGGCTTGCGTTAGGTTTTGTTTGCTCTTCTGTTTCTAGTATCTAAAGGTGGAATGTTAGTTTATTGAATGAGATCTTTCTTCTCTCTTAATATATATGTTTAGAGTTATAAATTTCTCTCTAAGCACTACTTTGCATCCTATAACTTTTCATGTTCACCTCAGAATATTTTCTTCTTTCTCTTTTAAGATTTTATTTTTCCTTTTTCTCCCCAAAGCCCCCCAGTACATAGTTGTGTATTTTTAGTTGTGGGTCCTTCTAGTTGTGCTATGTGGGACGCTACCTCAGCATGTCTCAATGAGCAGTGCCATGTCCGTGCCCAGGATCTGAACTGGTGAAACCCTGGGCGGCTGAAGCGGAGCGTGTGAACTTAACCACTTGGCCATGAGGCAGGCCCCTCAGAGTATTTTCTTATTTCCCTTGTGATTTCTTCTTTGACCTATTAGTTGTTTAGGAGTGTGGTGCTAATTTCCGCACATTTGTAAATTTCCCAAATTTATTTGCTATTGATTTCTAACTTCATCTTATTGTTGAATCATCTATTTCTCCTTTTGATTCTGTCAGTTTTTGCTTCACATATTTTGGGGCTCTATTTTTAGGTTCGTGTATCTTCAGAATTCTTATATATTCTTCAACCAACCCTTTTATCATTATAAAATGTCTTTCTTTGTCCCTAATAACAATTTTTGTCTTAGAATTTATTTTTCCTGTTATTAATATATCTACTTCAGCTCTCTTATGCTTGCTGTTTGCATGATATCTTTTTCTATTCTTTTACTTTCAACCTATTTTTGACTTTGAATCTAAAGCGTAACTCTTATAGAGAACATATAGTTGGATCATGGTTTTTTTACACTCAGCCTGACAACATCTACATTTTGAATGGATTGTTTAGTAGATTCACATTTAATGTCATTATTGATCTGTATCTTATTATTGATACCTATATGTCTCATGTCTTTTTTGTTTCTTTGTTCCTCTATTTCACCTTTATTGCTTTCTTTTGCATTAAATGAATATTTTCTAGTGCAATATTTTAATGATTTTTTTCACTATTTTTTTCACACTGTTATTTTCTTAGTGGTTGCTCTAGGACTTAAACAATATATGTCTGAACTAATCAGAATCTACTTCTATTGGAAGTCCAGTGAGTATAGGAATACCTATATAGCTCTATTCTCTCTTCCTCTTTTAATTCTATTATAGTTATGCATATTACTTCTATACATAAATCCAACTATGTTATTATTACTTTATATAACTTTAGATCCTTTAAAGCTGAGAGAAGGAGAGGAAATATATATATATATATATATTTATAGAGAGTTGATAATTAGCCTTCTTGTTTACCATTTCTGGTTCTTGTTATTAGTACATTTTTCTGATGTCTTAGTCTGTTCAGGTTGTTAACAAAGTGCCATAGATTAGGTGACTTATAAACAACAGAAATTTATTTCTCACAGTTCTGGAGGCTGGAAAGTCCAAGAACAAGGTGCCAGTGGATTTGATTTCTGGTGTGAGTCCATTTCTTGGTTCACAGATGGCTGTCTTCTTGTGTCCTCACATGGTGGAAGGGGCAAGGGAGCTCTCTGGGTTTTACTTTATCAGGGCACTAATGTTAATCATGAGGTCTCCACCCTCATTACTTAATCATCTCCCAAAGGCCCGACTTCCAAATACCATCACAATGGGGATTAGGTTTAAACACAGGAATTTTAGGGGGACACAAACATTCAATCTATAGCACTTGAATAAATGTTTCTCCATTTGCTCTATTCCCTTAGGATAATTTCTAGAGACTTTAAATACTCTTTCCTTTTTTCAAATAATTTTCACCAGCTATGGTTGTTTCACTGGGAAGAGGGTCCACAGAGCTCCTTATACCATCATTCTTTAAGTACCCCAGGTTATACATATTTTAAATATTGATACCTAGTGGTAAATTGTTCTCTAGAAAAGCTACACCACTTTACATTTCCAATAGCAAGTCATGAGAATGCTTATTTCCCACACTCTTGCCAACTGTGGATGTTATCAATACTTTTAATCTTTGCCAATCTGAGAAAGAAAAATAACTATCTCATTTTTATATTCAAATTTTAGGCAGTCTGAGTTGAGAGATACTTCCTAGAAAAGACATACCTCTCTCCGTTTACTGCTAAATTAGTTATAGTTACCCCACTATGACTGTCAAGAAAATGAAATGTGAAGGAGGTGGAAGCTTCCAAAAATGAAGCAAGGGGCTGCCTTCATGTTTTCCAGAGGGGGCCAAAACAAATGCCTAGGAAAACCTTGGCACCAGGAATTCTCCTGTTACAAGAGACTCATTTTTGTCTTTAAAAAATTAGTTATATTTTCACCTACCTTATATTTAAAACTTATTGCGGAGTACTAATTATTAGTTTCATAGCATTAAAAGATTCCTAGGGACCATTTTATCTCTTAAATAAAATACTCCAAATTAAGATTTTGATTCTGATATCTTTCTGTTGATCTGCTCTAAGTAACTGTCTTAGCCGGTATAAATATCAGGAATCAAAATCCAAAATACTAAGAAAAATTGTTGAGACTGCTAATGCAGACCACTGAGCAAATAAAGATTATTAGGTGATAAATAATTTAATGAAAAAAATCTCTTCAATAGCATAAATTCAGACTTTTGAAGAAATATAGGTGTTGTATTTATTTTGAAAGGTAAGGAAGTATGAAGTTGCTTTCAGCACTGAAAAACTCTGACAAATTTTCATAACTCATTGTCTATTTAAAAAACTGAAGCATGGGTAAATTGGTCTGCTGGATAGCATTTCTTATTAAGATATATTTCTTTCTCCTTTGCCTTCCAAATATAGATCTTCTCTAGTGAAATTCACCTGGTCTACCAGAAGAAGAAAAGAAGTGAATCCATCCACATAATAGTGTGATTGCTTAGAAGTTCCTGTAAGAAAGGAATTGTTTGAAAGCACCTGGGATGGTTTATTAGTTTCACAAGATTCTCTTCCTCTTGGTTTCTCTTTAGAGGGAAAATATCATAAATTCAAAAGCAATTCTAGTCTGAAGCACAATTACTTGCAACAAAAATCTCTCATCTTTTTCTGCACATTATTATTCTTACATGGTTTAAAAAGAAAAATACTTTTTAATATCTTAGAACTCTCTAATTGTAAAAAGTACAAGAACTGAAAATTTTTTTCATATTCTTATAATTCTCCAAAACTATTAAATAACTTTTTATATGTTTGAGTGATTTTTTTGAAAAAATGCTAAACCTGAAATCAAATGCATTGACCATCTGGCTTTGTAAAATAAGGAGAAAATAATTGGTTCATGGATTATTTATGTAGAGAGACTAAGAAAGAAGTTATTGTTACCAATTTTATATGATAGACTTTAATGTTTATAAAAGTATTTTTTTATTTTGAATAATACCCACTTAAAGTTGTAAAAGAACATTTGAAATACTAATTGTAGTTCCTTTTATTTTACAGCTGAAATGTTCATTTCTGAATCTATTTCTCATGATGTAGTTATAAGAAGCCAAGGTTTGATTTCCTTTGAAGTTCTATGTCCTTGATTCATTTGTACAGATAGTTTCTTAGAAAGGCCCACTTAAAGTTGACATTTAAAATCCACTTATGCCAATGAGCTCCCAAGCAGGGCAATATCTCTTTTCTAACGTATGAGTGCTCACCATTCTGCTGGGCTTTGTTTTGGTGCTGATTTGGTGCTGTGGTGGTGAGACGTGTAAATGAAAAAATCATAGGAGACTCAGGGATGTGATTACCAAAAGGAAACTATCCCATCTAAATCGGAACTGTATTGATAATTAGGTGTTCCCAAGTTGTTAAATATGATCTTAATTTGTATTTATTGAAAGACTGTTATCTCAGTGCCATAATGTTTTTATTATTTTACTATAACTTAATTCCAGATATAAAATTTACAAATTCATATCAGCACTGGAAACTTTATTTTGTAAACATTATAGAATGGGAGAAGCCATAACCATTTAACCCTTACTTTGCTAAAATGAAAGGTTGGGATCACCATATAAAGAATTTGAAATAGAAATTCTGACATCATGGTATTTGTCTCCCTTTTATAGCTTATTAATGGTGTCTTTTATAATGGAAGGTGCTTATATAAAGAAATATAATTAAATTTACACACAAACAAAAAGTGTTTTATGAAATGTGTTACCTCATTATTTAAATTGGATATTTTGGGGAAATTCTGAATGATTTTCTGGATAAATTATAATTCCTTTACACAAGTACATTTCAGTAGAAATATAAGCTATTGTCAATTATATTTATGTTTAAAACATGTACTCACTTATATATTTTGGACAAAAAGAGAAAATTAATATTTTATACAGTTCAGATGAATCTCCTTTAATACAAGCCTACACTTTTTCAAATACAGATTCTCACAGTCACAGAAGTTAAAAACCAGTCATACCATTGGAAGGTAATTAAATGGTTACAGATTTCTGCTCATCGACTTCAATAATTGTTCAATAAAATATTCAGTGATTTGAGTGTCTACTTGTCGTTACTTGATTAAGAAATGTTCAGAGTGTTGAGTACAGCGTGGTGGAAATGTTCCTGATACATGTCCCTATTTCCATTGTTTGTTCCATTTAATTCCAGCATTTAAGACTGAACAGCTTTAATATATGTCCTGCCACTGCGGATCTTTTACTTAATTCAAGATTATCAAAATCTATAAGAACTCAGCAACCAGTGGCATAGATGCCACAAGTAGCATACTAGGACAAGTCCATGACAATGGAGACATATTTTATTTGCTGGGGAGGTGGCAGGGGAGACCAGAGGATTGTCAAAATATGTGTACTTTAAATTTAACTTTCTCTATGATTTGGTGTTTTCTTATTTTTCTATTAAATGTTCTTTGTAATTTCTAATATTTTCAGAACACAAAGGAAAATAGATTTTATATAGTCTAATCAAGATGGTTAAAGGGATCAGAAGTAATGGGACCATCCCAATTTGGGGCAATGCGGTGAGTCAGTCAAGTGGAGCGGATGGAGAGCAGTGGATCAAAGAACAGCTGTAAATGTTGATTCTTTCTTTCTTGGCCCAGTTCCTTCCAAACTCTGAAATCAGTGAGGTCTTTGGTCCCATTCCTGCAGCATTTTACCCTCCTTCACAGGGCCAGGACTAGATTAATTGGGAACAAAGTTTAAGGCTGAGCCAAAAACCTCAGCAATCAAGGTGAGTAATGTTTTAACATCATTTTTGAAAAAAAAAAAATCCCTCAAAACATGCATGGTGAACAAAATAATCAAATTTTCAGATAAAGACAGGATTGGCTGGGCCATATTGGAGCCTAGGGAAAAGGAAAAACTTAGCAATTCAAATCCCTTGTTTTGGTATCTTAAAGCCTGAGGTCCAGCCCTTTGTTTCTTCCCTTTGTTCTCACTTCTCATAGTGACCTTACTCCCTAAACTCTAGATCAACATCCCATTTTCCATTCTTGGCTTCCATATGGCCAGAGTATTGATGGAAAAAACATTGGATCGTAGCCCTGACTTCTTTTTACATCTAAGTTCATCCCACTATAAAATCATCTAATTGGATTCCAATGCATCTTGGTAAGAGGTAGTGAAGTTGATGATTTCAAGCTCTAGCCCCTGTCAATTGCTATGCAGAAAAGTCCTATCAGCCTCATTTGGAAGTTTGTCATCTGACTCTACACTATGAATCCGCAGGAACTACCTACAGCATCTCCTGACTCTACACTTCTAGGATTATTACAATACTCTCTTTTTGCAAGTTCTCGTAATACCTGATATCAACTGTTTTGTGGCACTCTATTTAAATGGCCAAACAATATTCCTCAAAGATTTTAACTTGGTAATGGGCAAGAGCAAAGAATATTTTGATATGTAGCCAATTCTCAGTTTTTCTACTTTCTTTTTTTTTTTAAGATTTTATTTTTCCTTTTTCTCCCCAAAGCCCCCCAATATATAGTTGTATATTTTTAGTTGTGGCTCCTTCTAGTTGTGGCATGTGGGATGCCGCCTCAGCATGGCCTGATGAGTGGTGCCACGTCCGTGCCCAGGATCCGAACCGGCAAAACCCCGGGCTGCTGAAGTGGAGCTCGCAAACTTAACCACTCGGCCACGGGGCCAGCCCCTCAGTTCTTCTATTTTTAATGTAACATTTCCTGGGAGGATGTGTTAGTATGTCATTCTCCATACTGTTTACTTCTCTTCTGGTGAGTTGTAGGCAAAGCTTTTGTGTTTCATAACTCAAAATAGTTATGCTTAACTAAATATGACTTGTATACACTGAGGCACAAGTATCATGAAAAGTTCACATACTACAAGTAAACCAAAAGAAAAACATTTCCAATTCTTCAGCATTTGGTAAAATCTTACTAATACTAGTTTTGAAAAATGAAAAAGTTTTAAACTTGGAATTTGACCAAAAAAAACAAGGTATTTTCTGTGAAGATACTCTTCCCTCTGATGAGATTGTAGATGATTGTTATTGTCCATATTGTGATTTTTAGAGTTCTGTTTACAGTGTCTAAGCCGCTTTTATTATTATTATTTAGGTTTCTGGGTTGTTTAATTAAAGTGCACTTGTTGGAAAGGATGGGAGAGAGGGAGAGAGGAAGGAAAGGAGCTGAGCTTCGGCAAAGTTGTTTCCCAATAACGCTATGGGATTATTATTTTGCCCATTTTTATCTATTTTTAAATTTATTTTAATTAATTAATTATTTTGCTGAGGAAAGATTCACCCTGAGCTAACACCCATTGCTAATCTTCATCATTTTGCTTGAGGATTTGCCCTCAGCTAACACCTGTGCCAGTCTTCCTCTATGTTGTATGTGGGTCCCTGCCACAGCATGACTGCTGATGAGTGGTGTAGGTCTGCACCCAGGAACTGAACCTGGGCCACTGAAGCTGAGCACGCTGAATTTAACCACAAGGCCATGGGGCCGGCCCCTATTTTGCCCATTTTTAGATGAGGAAACAGTAACTTAGAAAATGAGAGTAACCTAAAATCACACAGCTAGTAAACTGCTACAGTTGGAATACAAATCCAAGTGCCTTCCAAAATGTGCTCTCAAGCACTAGGATCTAAGAGGAGTTTTAAGCTATTTATGAAAGCCACAGATTTTGTAACAGAATAACAAGTAGTTTCCTGACCTGCAACTGAAAAATGAGGAACATTCTCTGGTCCTCTGGTTTATGCTTCCTCATGGAGGCAGATCAGCAGCCATCACCACATCAGCCGACTTAAGCCAGAGACCTGTGTATCTTTCTGTATATATAACTCATATTTAATTCAACAAAATCTGGATTCATTCCCTCCCAACTTTCCTTCTTTCTCCTTTCAAGGGAACTTGAAAATTAATTCTGTTTGTTTTAACTATTTTTTAAAAAGAAAAAAGTACCTGCATAAATAAAATTCTTCCTTTTATCATATTTAAGCAGAATATTTCAAACTATTCTAAAAATAAAAGTAGCAAAGAGACTGGCTTTTTCTCCTTTAAAAATTATTTTCAAATGGCAAAGAAAATACATAGGTTTTAGCGTTATTTTTTCTTTTTTAAAAAAATGCTTTACAAATGATATAAAACAAAATGGGACACTTATACCTGCTTCCTCTAAATGTCACTTCTGCTCTCAGAGGGAAACAGAAATAGGAAGTTTTAGATAAATTTATAGATAATGTATATGTGCTATAAATGTATTTTTTTTTACGCTTACCTTTACCATGCTAGACACTGTTCTGCGTGATTTAACTCATGAAAGCTCATTTAGTAGTCACAGCTCTATGAAGTAAGTTGTACTATTGTCCTCCCTCTTTTTTTTGAACCAGAGGAGAAAATATGCAAATAAATAAATAAATAAATAACCCGCCAAAGGGCACACAAAGTAGAAGGCAGAGCTTGGATTTGAATGAAGCCAGATACCTGAGGGGTACTGTAGATGTTAAACCAATTTGCTGTTTTCCTCTTTAACTTGAGGATTGACTCAGGGGTCTAGAGGATTTATGAGCTTGTTCTGCAGAAGAAAGAGAATGCCTCCAGGGAGGTCCCGATCACTGGGTGGCCGACCCTCAGCAGCAGTTAAAGCCCAGAAGTCAGATTGCCCAGGGGCTTCTCGGGAGTGACCCCTTTGTTTTCCAAAGCTCCTCTTGTGAAGCCCCTTAGCTCCATAAAACCCCTCTGCTTTCTGTTCTTGGGGAGGTGGATTTGAGCAAACCCGGGCTCCCACCCATCTGTTTTGGCCAATTTGAATAAATCTTACTCCATCTCCAAACACTGATGTCTCAGAGTTTGGCTTGCTGTGCGTCTGGCACAGGAACTTGAGATTAAGAGGTTCCATATCACTACTACTCTTGAGCTTCTTCTATACACGCAGAAGCACATAGAAATATGTGTCTGGCCATATATATACATATACATATATACATACTACATATGTGTTTCAAACATACATATATATGTTTCAATACACTAAAAGTTTGTCATGTGACCTTTCATGACTTTACATATGCGGATGAAGGGCAGGGCAAGGGAGAACAATTTGCTAAAACAAGATTGAGCAGCCAGAGACCAAGATTACAAAGCATCTCAGAGAGTAGCAGGCATGAAAAATATTCCTTGGCTGAGAAACTAGATCACTGATAAACTTAGAACAGTTTCAGTTCTTACACAGGAGAAGGGTGAAAGCCAGATTGCTTCTGAACTAGTCTTGTTGAGGAGAAAATGCTGAGGAGTAATTCTTGAAAGCGATGGGTCCAGAGGAAGAATCCAATATCTAACAATCAACTCTTTAGGTTACTTAGCATCTAGCAGGTGGGCTGGCCCCACAATGTTGAACTACGCTTTATCCTACAAAGCATGACCAGCCTTTCCTGATGCTGTGTCATATGATGGGGTTCCTGTCTTAAGTAAGTTTTCATGTCATGAACTGTGATAGGGAACGACTTATATTTTGTATGTTATAGTATTTAACTTAAAACCATATACTCACCCCACAGTAAAAGAACAAGCAAAAAGAGAGGAAGCTGCTGCCACCAGCAATTCAAAAGCTTTAGGAACCACAACTTTTTTTTTTTTAAATGGTAGCAATCATGTTTTAAAGATTTTTTCCCCCTTTTTCTCCCCAAAGCCCCCCGGTACATAGTTGTATATTCTTCGTTGTGGGTCCTTCTAGTTGAGGAACCACAACTTTAGCAACATCTGTTGAGGATTCTCTAATTCACCTCTGTATTTAACTGCCTACCATGCACCAGTTCTTGGATCTCTTAAAGGCACTAAAAGATCTGCTTCCCGAATTGTAGCTAGTTATCCTGTCAAAATTCAAATTTTTTAAATATCATGGTAACGGTTTAAAATGCTTCGCCGGCTTTCCTTTGCACTTGATAAAGACCAAAATACTCAACTTTGCTTGAAGGTTTTGCAGCAGCGGTTCTTACCCATCTCGTCAGCCTCATAAAAGCCACTTTTCACCTTTTCTACTTCCTCCTCCCTAGTTCCCCTTGAGATGCCAGCCAAACCAACCTCTTTCTGTCCTTTCTGTACCAAGTTCTTTAGAGCGAAAAGCCTTCTCATTGGCTCTTCCTTAAGCCTTGAAGACTTTTACCCTCGAATTTGTTCAATAACTCAAATTCATTCCTCGAATTTCACCTTAAATGTCACTTCCTCAGGAGAGACCTCAGGGAGCCTGAGCTGAGGTGGGGCACAATTTTACCGGGTGGGACAGACCCACCCACTCACCCATAGAGATGCAAATTGATCCACAGAGGCGACTGTTCCTCTTTCAAGGTTTTTCTACATCCTCACCCACAACCCCAGACTAAGGGAACCAGGTCCGCCGCAAAGCTCTCCCTTCCTAGTGTTTGAGAGGAGGAAGGTGTGGTGGTGACGCTTTTAAAACCAGCCTGCCCCCTCACTTTGATCCTCCAGTTGCTCACAGGAATAAAAATGGTAAGAATCTGAAAAGGAGCCACTGAGAATTAAATGCTTAGTCGAAGCCAACAATGGCCTGATCACTGACGGAAGCGCCCCAGGCTATGCTAGGGATCTCTTTCGGTTTTCCTCCTCCATCGGGATCATCGGGCACGTGCAGACCATTACCTGCTCACTTCCGGGGGAACAGCCAATCACCGTGCGGGCTGAGTGTGCGCCTCTAACGAGGAACCCGCCCACCCCAGGCTTGTTGGAGTCTCGGTCCCACGCTGCACCGGCTCTGAGGGTTCTGCAGTCTCAGGTCTGAGAGGGGCTGAGCGGTCTGTTCCAGGTAAGCTGGGAGGGTTGCAGAAGCGGGCCAGGCGCGGCTGTCGTGCGGGTTAGCTGAGCAGGGGCTTCCTGAGCTGAACGCTGTGCGCCAGACCTCGGGTCGCAGCTTGAACTCGAGTGGATCGCCTCACCCTCAGTCTCTCTCTGGCGAAGATCCTGTGAAAACCACAGCTTCCGGGTCCCAGACCTGGGGGTTCAGTATGGGGATGGGGAGCCTGCGTTAATTGAATTATTAAGATTTTTATCTGAAGGAGAATTTGGGAATTGCTACATTCGTTGTCCCCGGAGAATTACTGTGTTTGGTGAGGGAAAGGAGCGGGGGAGGGAGGTGGGAAATGAAGGGAGTGGAGCGGTAGCCACCATTTGAGAACCCACCATCCTACAGAGCCTACACCTGCTGGTCGGTTTAAGCATCCTTTGATCTTCACAAAGATCTTAGAGTGAGGAATTATCACTTCAACTTTACAGGTGAGCCAGGTTAGTCTCACGTGTGTTAAGAATCATCCATTATGACAATGGTTGAAACTGAGAGCTAGGAATCTACCATAGGTTCTGTTTATTCATGAAGTACTGTTTGAGCACCCACTATCTGCCCAGGACAAGAATAAACTAGAGGCGCATAACCACCAAGAAGTTTACCGTCTAGCGGGAAAGTGGGACACATTAGCTAAGGAATTGCAAAGATCATTGTAAAATCAAATCACAACTGTGATATATGATTTGATGAGGAACTGGGCGAAGATGCTAGTTGGATCTTGACGGTCTTTTAAGCTTAGTTTTCCTTAAAGCAGTGGTTCGCAAAGTATGGTCCCCCAGCTAGCAGTCACCTGGGAACTTAGAAATACAACACACCAGCTGAATCAGAAAGGAGGGATGTGACCCAGCCATCTTTTGTCAAGACCTACAGGTAATTATGATGCAAGCTAAGGTTTGAAAACTACTTTGTTTAATAAAGAACCAATGGAATGTTTTAAGTTGGAAGATAAAAGGACTATTTGTATTTGAAAAGATCAGTTTAGCTACAGAGTTAGGGAAATGATGGGAGGCCCCATTGTGCTTTGGAGTAGAAAGAGGGCTCATACACTATTGCAGAGGAGAGATTTGAGTAGCTGGAACTAGGGTGGTAGGCAGTGCCCACAAAGCTGGTTCTGTTCACTTCATGATCTGTTTACTTAATGGCTTGATTCTGGAATGCAAGGAAAACTGATTTGTGTTGTATGCTTGGGAGGAGGGAGGCACAGTGATACCTGGTGAGTATCTGTTAGGTTCTTTGAACCATACTAGAGTCCTTTTTTTGTACAGACGTTCTTGAAGGTATATTTTTTTCTTCTGATTTTAGTTTCTTCTGATTTAGTTAAATTCCTCTGCAATTTTCTAGCTGTGTGACATTGAGCAAGATTCTTAAAACTTCATTCAGCCTCAGTTTTCTAATCCCTGGCCACTTGATGCAGTGTTACCTCCAGTCCCATGCACTCCCCTCTTTCTTTCTTTCTTTTTTTTTTTTTGAGAAAGATTATCCCTGACCTAACATCTGCCACCAATCTTCTTCTTTTCACTGAGGAAGACTGGCCCTGAGCTAACATCCGTGCCCTTCTTCCTCTGCTTTATATATGGGACGCCTACCACAGCATGGCTTGCCAAGTGGTGCCAAGTCCGCACCCAGGATCCAAACCAGCGAATCCTGGGCCGCTGAAGCGGAACGTGCGCACTTAACTACTGCACCACTGGGCCGGCCCCTGTTGCTTCAGTTTACTACAAGTTGAATGTATTTTAACATAAAATTAAAGGTGTATTTGAAAATTCTGAAGCTTCACTCCTGCACCTCTAAAATTAGTGTAGGAAAATTTCCTGCAGGATACTGTTACAGTGAGCTTCATGGAAATTAATGCCTTTACTAGTCATCAGAGATTTAGTGACTGTACAAGACATAGCAGTTTTGGGGTTAAAAATCAGTGCTTTTTACATGTAAGTAAGTATGCACGTATATGGAATGTATAATGTAATAAAGTGTAATGTGGTATAAAATAAACGTGGATTCAGCTAGATTTCTAAGAGCTTTTATGAGATAGTCCTACAGAACTTTCCATTGTACATGTGTGAAACACCAGTCACTGTGACATGTGCCTTACATTCTTTTCTTATTTACTGATTACAATGTCACATAGTATTATTTCTCACTTAGTGCAAAGAAAACTGAAGCTCAGAGAAGTTAATTTGGTCAAGGTCATATAGCTAGTTAAGTGGCAGAGTTGGATGAAAACCCAGTTTTCTCAGGTATTGCTACCTCTCAATTTGCGTTATATCTGTTTTCACTGTTATAGTACTGGAATCAGTAAATCTGTTTTTTTCCTCAAAAATTTTTGGAATATGTCATCAAACATGAATAAATGCAAACATATCAAATAGGAAAAATAGAAGGTGCTTTGAGTTAGATACAGAGGGATGCATAGGATGCTGTGGTAGTATGAAGAAGGGCTGGTACAGCTTAGTGACGTGTCATGCCTGTGGTTATCCCATGTAATGTAGTGTTGTATAAGTGTATTCAAATTATTGCAGACTCATCTTTTTACAGCTCCAATTGAAGATAATAGCTTCTAACTTACAGGGTTGTTGTGAGCTTAATTGAATCAGTGACTGTATGAAAGACCCTTAGCTTAGTGCCTGACACATAATAAACCATCCTAGAAAACATTTCTCTTTGGCTGAATCTCTCAAAGGAGCAAACCTTAGTCCTAGGAAAGAAGTGAGGAAAGGGTAATCTAAGCAGGGAGTGGTTTGTGCAGAGGAAGGAGAGCATGACACCTCCGGTGGAAAAAAAAAATAAAGGCCAAGTGCTTTGGGGGACCATGGCCAGATGAAGATAATGAGATATGAAGGGCTCTGAATGGTACAGGTGGAGTATTTTGTCCTGACTTATGGTGGGATATTGACAGGTTTAAATGAGAGGAAAGATTTAATCAGCTTAAAAAGTGAAGGCTTGGGGCCGGCCCTGTGGCTGAGTGGTTAAGTCTGAGTGCTCCTCTTCTGCGGCCCAGGGTTTCACTGGTTTGGATCCTGGGTGCAGACACAGCACTGCTCATTAGGCCATGTTGAGGTGGCGTCCCACATGCCACAACTAAAAAAATATATACAACTATATACTGGGGGGATTTCAGGGGAAAAAGCAGGGGAAAAGAAAGAAGACTGGCAACAGTTGTTAGCTTAGGTGCCAATCTTTAAAAAAAAAGAGACGAAGAAAAGCCAAGATAGGCTGAAAGCTAGGCGTCTTGTGCCAAACAGCCAAGTTGTGAATGCAAAGGAAAAGTTCTTGAAGGAAATTAAAAGTGCTACTCCCTTGAACATACAAATGATAAGAAAGCCAAACAGCCTTATTGCTGATATGGAGAAAGTTTTAGTGGTCTAGATAGAAGATCAGACCAGCCACAACATTCCCTTAAGCCAAAACTTAATCCAGAGCAAGGCCCTAACTCCCTTCAGTTCTGTGAAGGCTGAGAGAAGTGAGGAAGCTGCAGAAGAAAAGTTTGAAGGTAGCAGAGGTTGGTTCATGAGGTTTAAGGAAAGAAGCCATCTCTATAACATAAAAGTACAAGTTAAAGCGGCAGGTGTTGGTGTAGAAGCTGCAGCAAGTTATCTGGAAGATCTAGCTAAGATCATTAATGAAGGTGACTACACTAAACAACAGATTTTCAGTGTAGGTGAAACAGCCTTCTATTGGAAGAAGATGCCTTCTAGGACTTTCATAGCGAAAGAGGAGAAGTCAATGCTTGGCTTCAAAGTACAGGCTGACTCTCTTGTTAGGGGCTAATGCAGCTAGTGACTTTAAGTTGAAGCCAGTGTTCACTTACTATTCCAAAGATCCTAGAGCTCTTAAGAATTATGCTAAATTTACTCTGCCTGTGCTCTAGAAATGAAACAACAGAGCCTGGGTGACAGCACATCTGTTTACAACATGGTTTCCTGAATGTTTTAAGCCCACTGTTGAGATCTACTGCTCAGAATAAAAGATTCTTTTCAAGATATTACTGCTTATTGACAATGCACTTGGTAATAGCCCTGATGGAGATGTGCAATGAGATTAATGTTGTTTTTATGCCTGCTAACACAACATCCATTCTGTAGCCCTTGGATCAAGGACTAATTTCAACTTTCAAGTTTTATTATTTAAGAAATGCAGGGGCTGGCCTGGTGGCTCAGCGGTTAAGTGCGCGCATTCCACTTCAGTGGCCCGGGGTTTGCCAGTTTGGATCCCAGGTGTGGACCTGGCACTGCTTGGCAAGCCATACTGTGGTAGGTGTCCCACATATAAAGTAGAAGAAGATGGGCATGGATGTTAGCTCAGGGCTAGCCTTCCTCAGCAAAAAGAGAAGGATTGGCAGTGGATGTTAGCTCAAGGATAATCTTCCTCAAAAAACAAAAACAAAAAAGAAATACATATCGTAAGGCTATAGCTGCCATAGATAGTGATTTCTCTGATGAATCTGAGCAAAATAAATTGAAAACCTGGAAGGGTTTCACCATTGTACATGCCATTAAGAACATTTGTGATTCATGGAAAGAGGTCAAAATAACATTAACAAGAGTTTGGAAGAAGTTGATTCCAACCCTTATGGATGACTTTGAGAGGTTCAAGACTTCAGTGGAGGAAGTAACTGCAGATGTGATGGAAATAGCAAGAGAACTGGAATTAGAAGTGATGCCTGAAGATGTCACTGAATTGCTTAATTGCATAAAACTTGAATGGATGAGGAATTGTTTCTTATGGATGAGCCAACAAAGTGGTTTCTTGAGATGGAATCTACTCCTGGTGAAGATGCTGTGAAGACTGTTGAAATGACAACAAAGTATTTAGAATATTGCATAAACTTAGTTGGTAAAGCAGCAGCAAGTTTTGAGAGGATTGACTCCAGTTATTAAAGTAGTTCTGTGAATAAAAGGCAGTCAAACAGCGCTGCATGCTATGGAGAAATTGTTTGTGAAAGGAAGAGTCAATCGATGCAGCAAACCTCACTGTTGTCTTATGTTAAGAAATTGCCACAGCCACCCCAGCCTTTGGCAATCCCCACCCTGATTGGTCAGCAGCCATCATCATTGAGGCACGACCCTCCACCAGCAAAAAGACTGATTCACTGAAGGCTCAGATGATAGTTAGCATTTTTTAGCAATAAAATATTTTTTAATTAAGGCATGCACTTTTTTTTAGACATAATACCATTGCATACTTAATAGATGATAGTATAGTGTAAACATAACTTTTATATGCACTTGGAAAGCCAAAAATTTCTGTGACTCACTTTATTGCAATATTTGCTTTATTGCAGTGTTCTGGAACAGAACCTGCAATATCTCTAAGGTATGCCTGCAGGCATACCTCGTTTTATTACATTTCACAGATACTGCATTTTTTACAAGACCCTCTACCAGTAAACAGATGACTTGCTGAAGGTTCAGGTGATGGTTAGCATTTTTTAGCAATAAAGTATTTTTTTAATTAAAGTATGTATGTTGTTTTTTTAGACATAATGCTATTGCACACTTAATAGACTACAGTATAATGTAAACATAACTTTTATACACACTGGGAAACCAAAAAATTGGTGTGAATCGCTTTATTGTGATAACTTGCATTATAGTGGTGGTCTGGAACTGAACATACCTCTGAGATACGCCTGTACTGCATCTTTCCTATTCTGCTAGGAGGAAGAGAAATTCTGGGTGGTAAAAGAACTTGCTAGGTCACCACAGCAAAGCCACTTTCAAATGTCAAAACCATGCTCATATTATTTTCCCTGTCTTTGGTTATGAGGAAGGGGAGTGGAAGAGAGAGAATACTGTTGATAGTTAGGTGGCTCACAAGCTTGGAGGAATTTGATTTGCTTAAAATTGGATGTAGGTGGGCATCTTGAACACAAGCCAGGAAATTTTCCCCCTAACTTTTTATTTTGAAAATTCCAAATGTACAAAAAAATTGAAAGGATATGCAGTAAACAGAGATATACCTTATGCCTGGATTCACCAATTGTTAACCTTTTGCTATATCGTTGCTTTTTCTCTGTTTATATATACATTTTTAAATTATTGAACCTTCTGAAAGTAAGTTGCAGCCATCAAGATGGTTCCCTCCCATGCTTCAGTATCTCTCCTAAGAACAAGGACATTTTAATTTTTTTTTTTTTCTCGCTTGAGGAAGGTTAGCCGTGAGTTAACATGTGTGCATCTTCCTTCTATTTTGTATGTGGGATACCTTCACAGCATGGCTGGTGAGTGGAGTAGGTCTGTGCCTGGGATCCAAACCTGCAAACCCGGGACACTGAAGCAGAGCATACAGAACTTGAACCACTTAGCCACAGGGCTGGCCCCATACTTTTTTTTTTTTTTGAGGAAGATTAGCTCTGAGCTAACATCTGCTGCCAATCCTCCTCTTTTTGCTGAGCAAGACTGGCCCTGAGTTAACATCTGTGCCCATCTTCCTCTACTTTATATGTGGGACACCTACCACAGCATGGCTTGCCAAGCGGTGCCATGTCCACACCTGGGATCCGAACCGGTGAACCCCAGGCCACTGAAGCGGAACATGCAAACTTAATCACTGTGCCACCAGGCCAACCGCCATACTTTTACTTACAAATTAAACACAAATAAATTAAATAATACTGATACAATGTTATATGATACACAATCCTATTAAAATTCTCACATTTTCCCCCAAAATGTTCTTTTAGTTTTTCTTTTAAGATCCCAGATTCAGTTTGGGATCACATGTTGCATTTGTTTGTCATATTTCTTTAGTCTTAATCTAGACATTTTTTTTTTGGCTTTTCGTGACATTTACATTTTGAAGAATTCATACCAGTTTTCTTGTAGAATTCCCCACAGTCTAAGTTAGATTCATCATTTTCTCCTGATTAGATTGAGATGGAATATTTTTGGTGAAAATACTTTATAGGCAATGTGTGCTTACTATATGCATCATATCAGGAAGTACATAAAGTCAGTTTGTCCCATATTTTTGTTGTTTTGATTAATAAGAAATGTGTGAGGTGAATCTCTACAAGTGTGAATTCTTATTTTTTCCAAGAATTTCCATCTAATGATTTTAGCATTCATTGATAATTCTTGTGTAAATGTTTGAATATATTGATGATTGTGCAATTATATTTTTAACTTAATATCTTTTCTCACCCATAGGAAGGATTCCTTGTCTTGGACCTAAGGCCACTTTTTTGAACCATAAACCCATTAAGCTTGACTTCACGTCATTGAGTGGGAAGAGCAGCAGGCCAGCTCGTGTGTTCTCATATGCAATAGACTGCAGCCTGTGGCGTGTTTTTGTCACTAGACCCTGAAGCTAAGGGGCAGAGGGATAAACAAGTTTGTAGAGGCTGCCATCAATATACCAAGCCAGTGAAACAGAGCTGTTCAGTTTGCAAGGTCTGGAGGAGGATATCCACTGCTGACTCTCGAGCGCTAGAGAGCCAGGTCTCAGTAAAGGACGTGTTACCTTACCCATCGCCTTTGTTCACGGCTCAATGGAGTTTGTGACAGCCCTGGCAGACCTCCAAGCAGGGGCTAGCTGTCCCATCTGTTTGGACTACTTGAAAGACCCAGTGACCATCAGCTGTGGGCATAACTTCTGTCTCTCCTGCATCAATATGTTCTGGAAGGATCTAAATGATACCTTCCCCTGCCCTTTTTGCCGATTTTGTTGTCCAGAAAGGAAATTCACAAGCAATCTCCAACTAGGCAATTTGACTGAAATTGCTAAGTTACTCCAGATAAGAAGAAGCAAGAGGAAGAGGCAGGAAGAGAATCTTGTATGTGAAAAGCACAATCAGCTTTTGGCCTTTTTCTGTCAGAAGGATCTAGAGGTTTTATGTGCACAATGCAGTTTCTCCACTGACCACCGGAATCACTATGTTTGGCCCATAGAGAAGGCTGCCGCCTATCATAGGAAAAGGTTGGAGCATTACATTGAGCCGTGGAAGGAGAGAGTGGAACGGGTTGAAAAAGTGATAACTATGCAAACCAGAAAATCATTGGAACTGAAGAAAAAGGTAGAATATAGGAGAGAGGAAATAAAGTCTGAATTTGAGCAACTTACATTGTTTCTTCAAAATGAGCAAGAGACTGTTCTTCTGCAATTAGAAGATGAAGAAATGGATATTTTATCAAAACTAAATGAAAACCTAACAAAATTTTCAGATCATGTTTCCACATTAAAATGTCTATTAAAGGAGATACAGAGCAAATATGTGAAGTCAGAACTGGAACTTCTGACAGATGTTAAAAGTATGTACCATAGATATAAAACCTTAAAGGCCCCTGAACCTTTTTCATTCCAATTAAAAGAATACGGTTACTGTCTTCCTCCACAATATTCTGGCCTAAACAAAATTAAGCGATTTCAAGTGGACGTCATTCTAGATCCTGAAACAGCACATCGTAAACTTATTGTCTCAGAAGATAGAAAAACTGTGGAATATAGAAATACACTGCAAAACTTACCTCATAACCCAAGGAGATTTTATCTGTGCACAGCTGTTCTGGGTTCTGAGGGGTATGATTCTGGCAGGCAGTATTGGGAGGTGGAAGTGAAAGACAAGCCTGAATGGATCCTGGGTGTCTGTAAAGACTCTCTTCCCAGGAGGAGGAGGAATCAGAATCAACTGATGTTAGCACGGGACGGATTATGGGGTATTGGGCGATGTAGTGAGAGTAATTATATTGCATTGGGTCCTAAAAAAATTAATCTTTTGCCAGCAGTAATACCTAGTAAGATCGGCATTTTTTTGGATTGTGATTTGGGTGAAGTTTCCTTTTACAATTTGAATGATAGATCTCTTCTCTATATGTTTAATGATTCTTTTACAGAAGCATGTTGGCCTTATTTCTATGCTGGAACTGATTCAAAACCTCTTAAAATCTGTACGATAACAGATTCTGAATGATGAACTATTGTCAGACTCTTGTTTCTTTTTCTTTTCAGTTAGTGGACAAAACTAAGCCAGTGAATCTAGTCTGAACAATATCCGTTTTTAGTTTTCCCTTTAAACAATCAGAATGGTTTTTATCTCAGTTTCAGCAGCTGCTAAAAAATGTGGTTATAATGCCTACTTTACAGATAAATTGTGAGATCCAATTGGAAAGAGCTTTACAGATTCTAAGATTGGAAAGATATGCTTAAAAAATAATAAACCTTTATGAAAGGCATAGATGAACCCCTCCAGGACCACCTGCTCTGTAAAGGTAGCCACTTTCAACTTTCATCTGTTTATCTCAATATTTCTCAGTAACATGTTTTGTTCTTTTACTCTGTGTGTGCATCTTTGTCAATCTTGACTTAGTACTATGGAAAATGAGATAGTGCACCCACCATATGCACACATTGTGTACTTATGTATATACACACAATCAATAGGTAATCTTCCCTCTGTTCCCATGTGGACAACAGTCTCTCTAGCTCTCTTTAGCTGCCATCCTTCACCTCATGTTGGGAACTGACCTCAGAATCCCTGTTGATTCAGTTGTGTTTTCCTCCTTAGAATTACTCTATTTGGGCAATCACATCTTTCAGGAGATCACAGAAATGTAACATTTAGAAGAATTTAGATCAATGAAAAAGACTGCTGAGCTTTTCCTTGGGATTGTGGTGAATCTTTAGATCAGTTTGATGAGAACTGACATCTTGACAATATTGAGGCATCTAATCCATGAACTCATTTGTTTGGGTCTTTAACTTCTCTCCAATATTTTGATGTTTTTAGTATACATGTCTTCAGCATCTGTTGTCAGATTTATCCCTAAGTACAGTCCATTGGCTTTTCTGCAGAGATGATCCTGTAACAGGCAAATAAAAATGTTTTGACTTCTTTTACAATCTAGGTCCTTTTTCTTACTTGATTGCATTTACTAGGACCTCCAGCACAATACTGATTCTTAACATGTTATATAATTGGTTTTACCCCTCATTTGACTGCTCACATTTCCTCTCTGAATTTCTATACTTTTATTACCTAACTTTGATATCCCTCAGTCTTCACATGAAATAATTTCTATTTAATACTGTCAATTTAATATTATCTAATCATTTCCCCACTGATGGATGTTTATTTAGGTCAGATCTAACTTTTGCAAATAATGTACAATGAATGCATATTTATACTTTTAATGAAATATTCAGTAAAAACGTAGAGCATAATGGAGAAGAAAACACCCATGTGTTTTCAATTACGCTCAATTTAATAGAGCGTTAATATCACCTTTGAAGATTCTTTGTGTTCCTCACCCCAGCCTCTTCACTTCCTGGTCCTATCTAGTTCCGTCCACTATTCATAGTTTGTTTGATATTCCATTGTTTTCCTAGCCTTTTGCCATGGATGGTTGTATCCCTAAACAATATGTTGTTTAGTTCCACGTGTTTTTAAATTTTACATAAAGTCATTACCGAATTATTCTGTCTTAGATTTTTTCATTCAACAATATGAGTTTCATCATGATTTGCTTAAGGTCTACTTTGTTTTTATTCTACTTCTGATGGATACTCAGTTTGAGACTTTCACAAACAGCTGCTATGAAAACTACATGTCTGGTTTCTTTAGAGAGTAGGTTGCTGGACCTTCACCTTCATTGGATAATGTCAAATTATTTTCCAAATTGCTGTGCCAAATTACATGCCCACCCAAAGTGTATAAATGTTCTTACTGCTCTGCATCAACAGGACTTGATTTTTTTAAATGTTTAGTAGTTCACAAGATATTAAATGTTACCTCTGGTTTTAATTATTTCTGTGATTTCTAATAGAGTATATTTTCAAAGGTTTAATAATCATTTCTGTTTCTCTTCTGTAAAATATCTGTTCTTATTTGTTTCCCCCTGTTTTTCGCTTAGTCTGTCTGTCTCATTGGTTTATAAGAGCTCTTTATATTTTCTGGATTTTAGTCCTATAGCAGTTATATTCACTGCAGGTATCTTCTCCGAGTTTATCTTACTGTTACTATGGTGTCTTGAGCAGAAGTTCTTAAATTTGATATAGTTGGTTTCAGTCTTTTGAGGTTTTTAAGAAATCCTACACTACACCAAGGCCATTAAAATGTTCTAGATGTGCTTCTAAACGTTTTAATCATTTACTTGGAGTTGATTCTGTGTTTGGGAATAGAATGGGGCCTGCCTATGTATTTGATTATGTACAATGTATAAATAACCAATGGTTACACCACCATTTATTCAGAGGTCTGTCATTTCTCCAACTGATTTTCAGTGCCACCAGGATCTGACATCTCATCTGTTCTACTGCTCTACGGGTCTATCCTTGAGCTAATACCATACTCAAATATTAATGCTTTCTCATTCTTGATATCTGGTGACAATTTCATCATATATTTTTCAGATGAGAAGACAACCTTGGCCTATTCCATATAACTTTTAGAATCAGCTTGCAAATTAAACATAACTATAGAGACTTTATTTGAAATTATATTCAAGCAATAAATCAAATTGGAGAAAATTGATACATTTATTGAGTTGCCCAATCTATGAACATAGTATGCCCTTTACATCTATTTAAGTCTCCTTTAATAACATATAACAGCCACCAGTGGGCCACCTTATGTACAACTAGACATTCTAACTCACGTGACTTTCCTAGGTAACACTTGACATCAAGATTACTCAGAAGGATATTGGACAGTAAGCAGGCTGCCAGCAGGTAGCTTCAGGCATTTCTGTGGGAATTCTTACTGTTGTCTACATAGCTGTCCGGGAGTCCTTCTATTGGGCTTCCTATGAGATAGCTCAGGTAGGACATTGAGCAGGTGAAGAAGATGTGCTGACTTTAAACTTCATATCCCAGGAGGCCACTAGATCTTATAACTTCCCTGACAGGTGAGTGGACTCCATGAACTGGAAGGGACCTTCCAGAATTACACAGAAGAGTTGATATGTGGTCTCTGGAGGAAGCACAAATACTAGATAACAGCAAAAGTTTTGCAGTATTTTGAACTTTATAGGTTTTGGAACCAGTTTCCTTATCTTTAAAATGGAAAAATAATCTACCTCATAGAGTTGAATAAAGACTAGATGCTCCAACTGCCACCCTCAATATTCTATGAAGTATTCAGGCCTGCTCTCCCCTTCCTCGTTTCAGTTAAACTGAATGCAGCTAAACATTTTATACTTTTAAGAATAACTCATGATTTCCTCTAGGGAGGGGAATTTGACTCAAATTTATTTTTAATCTAGTTTCAATGTTTGAATTATTCATGTTCGTTGTTGACAAGATTTATTAGAATCACCAACCGTTGCTTTACAACCGCTATTGCCAGCTTCTCAGAGGCAACCACTTTCAAGTCCTTCACTCTGGGTGTTTACTTTTATAGTCACAAAATAACAAGCTAATAGTGACACTTCTGGATTTTTCAGTTTCTGGTATTATCACTTGATGTCCTACTTTGGAAGATGAGAATTTAGAGCAGCTTTCACTCTATGGGCCTCTCCTAATAGAATTATGCATTTTTGTATGGAATGTTTTCTGATGTTTGCATTATTTTGGCTGTATCAATGCCATTCACTTCTGAGCCGCATATTATGCAATGATCGCTTTTTTATTTTTCCACAACTTTGTTTTCTTGTAGCTAATAGTTGTCTTATATTTCTTATTTGCTTTGTTTTCCTGTCCTTATCCTTAATTCAGCCCCAAACTGTCCCTGTAGTTGTCTGAATCTCAATTGAAACACATTTATCTTTCTACCCCATTGATTTTGCAGATTACTCAAGGAGCCCTCTGACGTGCTCCAGTGCGGGCAGGTTGTTCATTGAGCCAGCTGCCCAGATTTCATCTTGGGAATGCCCTTAGCATCTCTTGACTTGTTTTTCCTGTTTCCTTATGTTTTCCCCTTTGGAAGTTGGTCTCTTGTTTTGTTGGAGAATGTCCTTCAGTAGCTTCCTAAATAGGGTGCATGGGAAGTTCATTTTTTTCCCACACTTTTTTTCAGTTGTACATTAGTAGTCATTATATGAGTGCACTCCTTCACCCCTGTGCCCCTTCCAACCCCCTACCCCTGGTAACCATGAAACTGTTCTCTTTGTGTGTTTATCTTCCATATATGAGTGAAATCATATGGTGTTTGTCTTTCTCTGGCTTATTTCACTTAACATAATACTCTCAAGATCCATCCATGTTGTTGCGAATGGGATGATTTTGTCTTTTTTTTATGGCTGAGTAGTATTCCATTGTGTATATATATCACGTCTTTATCCAATCATTAGTTGATGGGCACTTGGGTTGCTTCCACGTCTTGGCTATGGTGAATAATGCTGCAGTGAGCATAGGGGTGCATAAGTCTCTTTGAATTGTTGATGTCAAGTCCTTTGAGTAAATACCAAGTACTGGGATAACTGGGTCATGTGGTATTTCCATTTTTAAATTTTGAGAAATTTCCATACTGTTTTCCATAGTGGTTTCACCAGTTTGCATTCCCACCAGCAGAGTATGAGGGTTCCCTTTTCTCCACATCCTCTCCAACATTTGCTATTCTTTGTCTTGGTAGTTGTAGCCATTCTAATGGGTGTAAGGTGATAGTGTAATTTTGATTTGCATTTCCCTAATAATTAGTGATATTGAACATCTCTTCATGTGCCTATTGGCCATCTGTATATATTTGGAAAAATGTTCATATCCTCTGCCCACTTTTTGATAGAGTTGTTTGTTTTTTTCCTTCAGTTGTGTGAGTTCTTTATATATTATGGAGATTAACCCCTTGTTGGATATATGATTTGCAAATATTTTCTCCCAGTGGGTGGGTTGTCTTTTTGTTTCATTCCTTGTTTCCTTTGCCTTGCAGAAACTCCTTAGTCTGATGAATTCCCACTTATTTATTTTTTCTTTTGTTTCCCTTGTCCAAGTAGACTTGGTATTTGAAAAGATCCTTTTAAGACTGATGTCAAAGAGTGTATTGCCTGTATTTTCTTCTAGGAGTTTTATGGTTTCACGTCTTACCTTCAAGTCTTTGATCCATTTTGAGTTTATTTTTGTGTATGGCAAAAGATAATGGTCTACTTTCACTCTTTTGCATGTGGCTCTCCAGTTTTCCCAACACCATTTATTGAAGAAACTTTCCTTTCTCCACTGTATGTTCTTAGTTCCTTTGTTGAAGATCAGCTCTCTGTAGATGTGTGGTTTTATTTCTCAGCTTTCAGTTAAGTTCCATTGATTTGTGTCTCTGTTTTTGTAACAGTACCATACTGTTTTTATTACTGTAGTTTTGTAGTATATTTTGAAGTCAGGGATTGTGATGTCTCCAGCTTTGTTCTTTTTTTCACAGGATTGCTTTAGCTATTCAGGGTCTTTGGTTGCCCCATATGAAGTTTAGGAGTCTTTGTTCTATTTCTATGAAGAATGTCATTGGGATTCTGATTGGGATTGCATTGAATCTGTGAATTGCTTTAAGTGGTATGGATATTTTAAGTATATTTATTCTTCCAATCCATGTGCATGGAATATCTTTCTGTTTCTTTATGTCATCATCAGTTTCTTTCAATGATGTCTTATAGTTTTCATCATATCAATCTTTCACCTCCTTGGTTAAATTTATTCCTAGATATTTTATTCTTTTTGTTGTGACTGTAAATGGGATTGTATTCGTCAGTTCTCTTTTTCTTAGTTCATTATTAGAGTATAGAAATGCAACTGAATTTTTGTAAGTTGATTTTGTACCTTGCAACTTTGCTGTAGTTGTTTCTAATAGTTTTCCAATAGATTCTTTAGGGTTCTTTATATATAAAATTGTGTTGTCTGCAAACAGTGAGTTTCACTTCTTTGTTGCCTACTTGGACCTCTTTTATTTCTTTTTCTTCCCTAATTGCTCTGGCCAAAACCTCCAGTACTATGTTGAATAAGAGTGGTGAAAGTGGGTGCCCTTGTCTTGTTCCTGTTCTCAGAGGGATGGCTTTCAGGTTTTTTCCTGTTGAGTATGATGTTGGCTGTGGATTAGTCATATATGGCCTTTATTGTTAAAGGTACTTTGCTTCTATGCCTGTTTTATTGAGGCTTTTTATCATAAATGGATGTTGGATCCTGTCGGATGCTTTCTCTGCATCTATTGAGATGATCCTGTAGTTTTTATTTTTTCTTTTGTTAATATGATGTATCACATTGATTGATTTGCAGATATTGAACCATCCCTGCATCCTTGGTATAAGTCCTACTTGATCATGGTGTATGATCTTTTTAATGTATTGCTGTGTTCAGTTTGCCAATATTTTGTTGGGAATTTCTGCATCTATGTTCATCAGCAATATTGGCCTGTAACTTTCCCTCTTTGTGTTGTCCTTATCTGGCTTTGGTATCAGGGTGATGTTGGCTTCATAGAATATGTTAGGAAGTGTTCTGTCTCCCTCAATTTGTTGGAATAGTTTGAGAAGGACAGGTATTAAATCTTTGAATGTTTGGTAGAATTCTCCAGAGAAGCCATCTGGTCCTTGACTTTTGTTTTTTGGAGGTTTTTGAATACTGTTTCAATCTCTCGTGATTGGTCTATTCAGATTCTATATGTCTTCTTGGTTCAGTTTTAGAAGGTTGTAAGAGTCTTAAGAATTTATCCATTTCCTCTAGATTGTCCAAATTGTTGGCATATAGTTTTTGATAGTATTCTCTTATAATCCTTTGTATTTCTGTGGTATCTGTTGTAATTTCTCCTCTTTAAAGAAATTAGGCAATTTCAATTGCAGTAGAAAAATTTGTGTATCAGAGGAAATATAATCATAGTACCTAGGTGGCTCAGCTATGAACAATTATGTAGTCATATGAATGTATGAATCCAATTATTATATAAATGTATTTAGGCACTTCCAAGGAAAGAAAGAGTATGTGCCTGAGTGGTATGAGAGACCTAAATTCTCAGTTTACTTAATAGAATGTTAATTTAAAAAAAAAAACGGTCTAACATTAAACATTACAACATAGTTATAGAGAAATAGTAAGGTAAAACACTATTACTTAGAAAAATATATCATGCCTCTATGAAACAGGAATTTGGGATATGATGGCATGGGCCAGCACACTTTTCTTTTTATTGTAAACCTCGTAGTATTGTTGGACTTAAAAAGATATATATCAGAGTGCAAACTGGTGCAGCCACTATGGAAAATAGTATGGAGAATCTTCAAAATATTAAAAATAGATCTACCATATGATCCAGCTATTCCACTGCTGGGTATTTATAC